TTGGTTCTAGGCTAGTTCTAAATTGTTAGGCTCACCTAAAGCTGACCTTTAGCCTAAGCCTAAGCGTAACCTAAGCGTACGCCTAACGTAAGCCTAAGCCCAAAAAACTAAGCCTAAGCCTAAACCTAAGCCTAAGCTTAAGCTTAAGAAAAGGCGAAAAACCTAAGTTGAAGCCTACGCCTCAGCATAAGCCTAAGCATTTCAACACCTCTCCTTTTCCATTATTGAAAAGATTTTTGCCCCCCACTACTCTGTGAGTTTTCCAGGCCATTAGTGGACAGCGCACGGGGGCCTGTCTGCCTGTGTCCATCGTAGCGTTCTGTAGCGGTGAATCCATTAGTCTGCCCGCCAGACCGTGTCTTCAATCCACTCACAACACAGCCCCCATCCTATCCGTTATTTTCAGGGTCCCCCGAAAGGAGAGAACCTCCGAGTTGTGAAGCGGACAAAAATCAAACAGCCAGGGCTACTACGGTGGTCGGGGTGGAATTTGGAGGGGAGCGTAGTAGAAAATTCGAAAAACTTGTGGTTTGAATTTTTGTGGAAAAACGACGCGCAACGCCGTAATGGATTCCGGGAGTCCGCAGGGCCGTGACGCGGCGCGCGTCGCGTCTCGCGGGTGCAGCACCCAAAGCCAAAAATCCATATCCATACCTTGCCGGTCCATTTAAAAATAAGTAAAATATGGAAACAGATTACTTAGCGAATTTGTCGCGCCGCGGCACACGACGCGGATCCTGCGAAATCGCGTGCGTTGCAGTTCGCGGTTTCGGCAAGCCCTAATCCACTGTCAAAATTAATAGTCAAGCCTTTTCTGTCCCTTAAATCGTCTAAATTTTAATTATTTTCACTTCCCGGGTTTAGTCCCCGCGGGTGCAGAACTTCTTGCTTTTTGACCAGGAGCTAGCGAGACCCTTCCGGGGTTTTATGATTTTTCAGCGCTTCAAGCCCGATAAGCCGAGAATTTTACGAGTTCCAAGCCCGCCAAATACGCCCAGAATGAATCACCTTTTTCTACACTCTTTTTCCGCAACAGCCTAGCCTGGCCCGGGCTTTATCACTACAATATCGGCCCATAAATCAATATTGAGAGCTGGCTGGAAGAAGCGGAAGAACTAATCCCCCTCCTCTCCACTTATCAATCGCCGAAGAGCATGCCTGCCGGAATAGGCCGAAAATCGCGGGGGCATTCCGATTGACATTTGGGATTCGGCTGTGGGTGCTACTTGACTTTGCCGAATCCGCGCCTCCGCTTATGGGGGCATGAAGCTGGAGGTCGGGCTCAACGAGTGCTTGCGGAGGATTAGGGTACGTTTCAAAGGTACGGGCAAGGGAAAACTATGGATTTGCTGGCTCTCTATTTATAAGAGTTTTGTCAAGATCTGGAAGCGCAGCCTGCTAGTAAAATACAAGATGTTTTAATCGTGTTTTTCGTATTTTTCGGCCGCTATAAAATCATAGAGAATCTTGTGGATGTCTCTCGGTCGCCGTGGATTTTGCCGCGCCGCGACATGCAACGCACGAGATCCAGTATGCAACGGAAGAGAGTCGCATGACTTGCGCGTTGCGTGCCGCGGTTGCTGATAAAAAAGATTTAAACCATGGCTAAAACAAGGGATGCCTTGTCCGTCCCTTTAAAAATTCAAATAAAAGAGGCCTGATTTAGTCACTCAATAAAAACTATTGCAAGCCCATTAATTCGTCTAGACAAGCGGTCGTGGCCTTCAACTGGTGATTGTCGTGCTGTCAATATTCTCCCTACTCTGCCTGCTACGTCTCCAGGCCATCCAGAACTATTATTTACGCTCCGACTTTGCCAACTTACGACTATACAGGGGACGCTCCTCCATTAGAGGCGATTCCGGTTTTAAAGGTAAAAATAAATTCTAAATAAATTTTAATTCTAGAAAAATTCAATTTAGGCAGGCCGTGTATCACGCCAGATACTATCAAGGATGACCCGAGCAAGGATTTTTACGAATTTAGCTTTGAAGGATCGAAAAGGATATTGCCAAAGTAAGCGAAGCCTGAGCTGAAGCCTAATCCTAAGCCTAAGCTTAGGCCCAAGCCCAGGCCTAGGTCTAAGCCTAAAGTTAAGCCAAGTTTTCCGCACCTTTACTCTTTCAATCGCTGTTTTTAGATTTATCTCGTTCACTGTCTCCCCCACCTCACCCTGCCTAATCCCCGAGGACAACGCCGTTTTCCAGAAATTCTGGAGGCTTTCGAGGAAGATTGATTGCAGAAATATTGGTATCATTTCTATTGACGTCTAACCGCCTAATTGTTGACAAAATTTCCAGAAGAAAAAGGGCAAAAATCCATTGGGAGAATTACAGCAATTTTGCAAAAGACGGGGCAGGGGAAACAGGAAAACTGGCAGCGCTAGACTAAGAAATGAATAAGATTATAAGGAAATGGAGATCGGATTTAAGAAATAAAAACAAGATAAAGATATGATTTTTAGATATGAAGCGCCCAACCCCACCGCCGAGGACCACGACAGATCCGGACTTGGTGAAAGAAGAAGAGACGACGGCGTGAGTTTTCGAAGCTAAAAGCTTTTGGAGCTTGAGTTTTGAATTTTTTGAAGCCTAAAGCTTCCTAAGCCCTGAGCCTAAGCCGAAGCCTAAGCCAAAGCCTAAACCGAAGCCTAAGCCCAAGCCTAAGTCTAAGCCAAGCATAAGCTTAAGTCTAAGAGTAAGCCTAGGCCGAAGATTAAGTCACGCTAAACGCAGCTGAAGCAGTATACACCCTAAGCCTACGTCAACATCCTTTACGCCATTAAGTTTGATCTCACTAGGTAAGTAAGCCAAGACCCTAGCTCGATCGTAAGCCAAAGACTAGATCAAAATCTGGTCCTTGAAAAACGTTCAAAAATCAAGCTTCGCGCGCTTTAAACGAAAAGTACAGGAATCGAAAACCATCCTAGCTTTGCCAGGGTCTCGCAACAATTTAGTAGCAATTGTGAGATCAAAAACCTGTCCCCCCATCCGCAACAGGTTGTCAATTATTTTTCTAGCACTCGCCCGGCACTCGACCGAATCCATGATCATCCGCTTGTCGTTGCCGCCCGGAAAACCGCCAAAAGTATGTAGGTGGTGGCTAAATCGGCAGAGTGGGGGGCGAGTTTGCGCGGATTAGCGCGCCCGAAATTCGCATCGGCAAATTTAAACGGCCGCTCGCGCTAGTCGAAATCATCGAATTTTGACTAGGGTGTGGCCGGAGGAAAATTCCATTTTCAGGGCTAAAATTAGAAATTGAAAATGTTCTGGTTCAGTAGCGGGGGGGGGAAAGAGGGGGAAATTTTTCCTAGCGATACCCATATCAAAAGGTAAAGCCTTTTAATTGCATTATTCAGATCTAAAAAGCTCGTGGAAATTCTAAGAATTGCCGAGATTAGCGATTTTTTTGCGGGAGTATGAAAACTGGTCAAAAAAAAGTCGAAATTTTCAATTTTTTTTGTAGTTTTCGCGTAATAAAAGACTTCTAAAAGCCCTTAAAAATGCAAAAAAACCCGAAAAATCCACATTTCAAGCCATTCGTGTCCCTTTGAAGATATCTGATTGGGGTCAAATTTTAGAAGACAACGACAATGTTCGAAGAGTGCCACTGGAAGCTATCGCAGAAATCGTCTTCCTCCGCGACTTCATCCTCAACCACGCCATTACACCTTTGCTATTTTTTGGCGCTTTATTGGGTGAATTTTAGGCTGAGCCTCAGCTTAGCTTAGGCTGAGCATAAGCTTAGGCTTAGCTTACAACCTTGGCTTTCCGCTGAAACAGAAGTGATTTTTAGGATGGTACCGCGAGTGCAGCATCATTCCGCACACTAACGACTTTGATTTTGCTATTAGGTGGGTTGGCTTGGCTTTGGCCTAGACTTCGGCTTAGGCTTGGCTTAGGCTTAAGCTTCGGCTTAGGCTTCGGCTTCTTATTTAGCCTTAGGAGATCAACATTTCCAACTTCAGAAGCGAAGAAGTCCCCGACAGCTTCATCGAGGCCCTAGAAAACCTGACAATTCCGTTGCGACCTGATCGACGTTTGGGCTTGGTACGTTTAGCCAAGCTGCTTTAGAAACCTAAGCCAAGCTAGCTAAGCTACCTAAGCAACTCCTTTTTAGCGCAACGAATCCCTTGAATATACGGTGAAAAGTGTGAAACACGGGTTCCCGATTGATCTCTTTGTCCTCTACGATACGGAAAACAGCACCTACGCCCCGGGACAGGGCCAACGCCTCGAGTCCTACAGATTCGTCTTTCCTAAGCGAGTTTTACGACTTAAAATAATTAAGCGTATTTAAGCTCATAATTAATTTTTTTTAGAATCCAGCCCGACGACATCTGCGCGGCGGAACTTTTGAACCATTTCTTCTACGTGCCCTGCCAGGTGGAACGCCATATTTTAGTATGGTATTTTAATTCATGGGAAATAGTTTTAAAAACTAAAATTATTAAAACTATTTTTAAACTGCTATTTGACTAACTATTTAAACTAAGCGTTAGAAAATGACAAATTATTTCTAGACCGAACACGGCCCTCAATGGGCCACCGACAAGCCGACGAAGCGCTTTTCCTGGAATAACGGGGTGGCAAATGTCGTCAAGGTGGGGGAGAGAGAGCGACAGAGAGAGCGAGAGAGAGAGAGAGAGAGAGAGAGAGAGAGAGAGAGAACGAGAGATTGGGAGAGGCAGAGACGGGGCCGATTTTTGAAAAGTCGAGGTTTTTTTAGATAAAAACCTACCCGCAAACGATGAAACCTGTGGTGCAGCATTACTTTGAAGAGGGATAATAAATATTTTGGACTGTCCGAAAGTGGAAATGCACAGAAAAATATACAGAACACTGAAATCAAACTTTTAATGTCTGATTTGCATACCCTAATTTGCATATGGCTAGATAACATTTTTCGTTGTCCCTACCCAGACCGAAAAACCCGGCCTTTTGTGCCCATCCCCGCGGTCGCCTTTCAAAATTCACGGCTACCCCATCCTCACCGCGGCAATGTACTTTGCGGTTGGGCGTTTTCGCTTTGTTTTTTTTACTTAGCTTACGTTCAGTCGAAGCCTCCGGATGACCCGAGCATCGGCTACAAGGAGGTCAAGTCGGGCTCCGGGTAGCTTCCTACCATCTTGGGGATGACTGGCTTCTAGGAGGAGCCGAAAAGGGCGGAAGCACGGCCAGGACGAGTCCGAGTTTGAGAAACGGGAGCAAAGGAGGTGCAGCTTATAGTCTGATACAATTTTTAAGAATGAAGCCAAGCGCGTTGCGTCGCGCGCGCTTCAAAATCCATAGGAAATCCATGCCTTGCCCGTCCCTTGACCCGCCGTTTCCAGGACTCGTCGCGCGGTCAGCGTGGCTCCTCCGAAAGATGAAATGGCTGCTTCGTAAGTTGGGATTGGGCTTGGACTTGGCTTCGGCTTAGGCTACAAGCCAACTTTTCCAGCGCCCTCCGCGGACAGCAGCTCGTCGACAAGGAGCTGCCGAACCCCGCCTTCGAGCCGGTCAACCTCGAGAATTGCACCATGGGGTAGACGGCGTTATTAGGCCGGGATATCTCACCTTCAGCGACAACATCTTTGACAAATCGCTCAAAAACGAGCCCTACTATCACGGCTTCATGCTGCCAAGCACACTCGAGTGGACCCTGAAGAGGGATGGGGACTTTATCGTCGCCCACATCATCCAGCATGTCGCTACTGAGAGGGAGGTAAGAGCTGGAAATCTCTCTCTCTCTCGTTCTCATTCTCTCTCTGTCTATCTCTCTGTCTCTCGGTTCAAAACAATCTTTAGCGCCCCTGCATCTGCGTCCAAGCCGGCACGGTGCAAAAGATCCAGCTCCGTTACTCGAAGGTAAGCCTAAGCCTAGCCTGAGCCTGAGCCTAAGCCTAAGCCTAAGCATAATCCTAAGCCCAAACCTATGCTAAGCCAACTCAACCCCTCCCAACTTCCAGAACTCGAAATGGTTTGTGTCGACGCGTGAATTTGACACTGTGGCTCAGGTTTAGATCTTCGGTAGCTTTTTCCAAGCTTCTCCTCTCAGCTCGTCGCCCACTACCTGACATCCAGGGAGGCGTTGACCAAAGACTCCAACTACGTGCTCAAGAACCCGGTCGCCAGGCCGGTTAGTAAAATTTTTGCCAACTTTTTATTGATTTTCCTGCGAAAATGAACCCTGACAAATTGCAGCACTGGATCCTCTGCAAGGACTTTGTGAAGCTGGTCGGCCGACTCGGCGCCGGGGCCTACGGCAAGGTGTACAAGGCCGAGACCACCGAAGGGCGCATCGTCGCCGTCAAGTCCATCAACTTGGTCCGTGCGCTGGGCCGTGAAAGCCCTGTTCATCTACAGAGTCTGCCAAAACCGTGGTTTTCAGGAGACGTGCAAGGACCGTGCCCGTGAGCAGTCGCAAAAGGCCGAATTCTTGCAGGAGGCGGCTCTCCACCTGCCCCTCAAGCATCGTCACATCATCGAGTTCATCGGCTTGGCTTCGTTGGCTGAGCCGCTCTTCTTCGTCATCGACTTTGCGCCCGGCGGCACCCTCATCAGGGTGAGGTTTAGGCTTAGGCTTCATCTTGCATTTTTAGTACCTTCGCAAGAACGCGGGCCGCAACGAGAAGCAGCAGCTCGTCCGTTTTGTCACCGAGGCCGCAGCTGCTTATCGGTATTTTTCAAGCTTTCATGTATTTCGTTCGGTTTAAAATGGTATTTTAATAATGTTTGTACGCCATATTTATTGATCTTGAATACCTTTGATTTTTAAATACTTTTTTCAGTTTCCTCGAAAAGCACAAATACCTCCATCGCGACATCGCCGCCAGGAATTGCCTGTTGGGGAAGGATAATACGGTATCTGCGGCTTATCCGATTACGCCATTAAATTCAGGTGAAAGTCTCCGACTTTGGGCTGGCCGTCGTCTGCCACGAGGAGAAGATCGTCGAGCCGGGGCTGAAGTTGGGCATTCGATGGCTGGCTCCAGAGGTGGGGATAGATGGGGTGCTTCCAAAAACACCCATTTTCCAGACCCTGAAAGCCATGGAATTCTCGAAAAAGACGGACGTGTGGGCCTTTGGCGTGATGATGTTCGAGATCTTCTCCGACGGGTCCGAACCGTACACTGGTAACGAGCGAAATCGCTGAGATTACGGTAACTACGGCACGGTTTAGGCAAGAAGGTGGCCGAGGTGCGACAGGGGCTGACGGACGGGTCGATGCTGCGCTGCCAAGTGCCTCCGAATACCCCGCCCGACGTCAAGGAGTTGATGCAGTCGTGCTGGACGGAGGATCCGGCGCAGAGGCCCACGTTCAGGGTATGGAAACGAAGTCATGTATAAGGCGAAGTGAAGCCTAAGCCTAAGCCCAAGCCAAGCCTAATTTCCGCTCTCCAGGTGCTGCACAAGAAGATGAAGGCGATCCTGGGGGAGGACCCGAAGTCGACGACAAACTCGGTGATCGGCCAGATTCCCGACGAGACCCCGCCCCCTCCACCGCTCTCCGACGCCGCCAAGGAACGCGATACGCCGTGCAATACGGCCGAAGGACGCTAGAGACGTGTGCAGCATCATCACCTTTAAAAGCACACTATCCCCCGGCTCTTTCCCTCGTTCCTCCCCAATTGTCTCCCCGCTCTCTGCCCCTCCCTTTCGCTCTCTCGCTCTGTGTCTGTCATGTCTTTCGATCGATCCAATTAATGTGATTTCAACGACGGGAATATCGAATAAATCGTTAAGCTTTTGTACGAGGGCTGATTAAAATTTAGGGCTTATTTTCATTTTGTAATTTTTTGCAAAGTTGTTTTGAGCGCAAAAATCGTATGATTTTTTTCAAACATTGAGATTCCACGCGTCAGCCAGCCCGGATCCGAATTTCGACCTGGACTCACCCGAACGAGTTTAAAACGCTGATTCCGATGCGCTGACTGGTATAGCTGAAAAATGGCATTTGTGGTTTTCACGATTTTTTAAGTTTTACCTGGACACCTGGCAAGCCTCCGATCGGTCGTGCCTTCGAAGGCTGTTTTCGCGAGAAATCAACCTTGTCAAATCGTTTTGACTTATGCATCTGAAAAAGCATCGAAAATAGTACTGAAAAAGTCTTGGCATGAAACTTGGGAGGCCGAACATTTTTAAAAATCCTAGCAAATCAAGCATCGAGAAAGAAATCCTGCTCCCCAGCGTCTAGCCTCGGCCCCTTCAATGTCTATTTTAATTTTAGCCAGAATTTCCCACGCGCGAGCATCATGATTTTCGGGAGCTCCATACAAAACTGCACCGGAATGAGTTTTTAAACGATTTTGTGAAGGCGAGAGAGGAGGAAGGTCGATTTGTGAGTCCCATGGAGGTCACAAACCTGTATCAGCCACAAAGCTTCACAAGTCAGAGATCACTTGCTGCGCCCGAGTGTTGCCCATCCGAATAAATAGAACCCCGCCCAAAGGGTGGCCATTTTTCGGTAAAATTGCCTATTTGCTCTAACATTTTAGGTAAGAGTTTGCTTTACCCCCGCAGCCGAAGGGTCTTAAAGTTTTCGGTATTTTCGCGTATTGTGTCGGGATTTTCGCAACGCCATTCGATAGAGCGTCGAAAAATATACTAAGAGTTTTAATTTGAGCCTACAATAATGTAAAATAAAAAAGTTATAGCCAAAAACTCCCGGCTGGGGGGTAAAGTACACCGTAGCCCATTTTAATCTCGCTTAACCTCAACTATCAAATCACCCAGATACCAGAGTTGAAAAGGTGGTACTGGGCTGTTAGCGGGGGGGGGACAGGGTTTTTCTGCAGTAACGAAATTCTAGACGCTTTTTATAGCATGTTACACATTTTTTAGAGACTGAAATTTCAAAATTTTGAAGATAATTTTCAGAACTAGCAATAAAAAAATACTAAAAAGAATATAAAAATACATTGTATTTTCTTCACTATCAGCTGCTAACGTAAAATTAAAGTCTGGCTTACCCCCGACTAAATCCCCCCGTTAACAGTCCAGTACCGAAAAAGACACAAAATGCACGATTTTTTGCTTTTTGCTAATTTTTTTGCTAAAACGGGTTTTAGGAAGAATGCCTCTTATCCTAATCTTAATTTCGGCGTCGACGGCTTTAGCGGGGTATTTTATGTAAGTTTCTAACGCTTTACACTTTTAAAATTGTTTGCCGTTTCTAGTTGGGCCTTCAAACGTAGGCGGTATTGGCAGGAACGCGCTGTGCCTGGGCCAAGAGGTAAAAAATTCCGATTTAAAAAAATTATTCATTTATTTAAATTTAAGCAAAATTTCGTTAATTTCCCCCTTTCAGGTGCCTTCCCCTTCGGGATGATCATGGAGGTGATGGACCCAGGGATTCCATGGATGTATAAATTGACCGAGTATACAAAAGTAAGGCACTCGGGTAAGGTACGAAACACTCCGCGCGCTGCGTGCCACATTGCGTGTTGCGTTGTGTGTTCTTTCTATTCGTTATAGTTTCTATTCGTCAACACTTTTTTATTCTTAGTTTTTTTATTCGTTAAATACGTAGTTACGACCTGGCTTCCGACGCCAAAACCCATATTTTTCTATCTCCATTTTCAGTCTATCTCTAGCGCGGCGCGAGTGGGCCGAAAATTTGGGATATGGAGAAGAGACAGAAAACCGCACAATTCACAAACTTTTTCGCCTCGCGTGGGCAAAAATTGAAAGTTCAGAGCGAAACAAGCGGTGGAAATAACGCAGTAGTGAAAGAAAACGCGAAACAAGATAACTACAAGTTAGAAATAGGTTTTTTTACTTTTACCGGAAGCTCACTCCCGCTTACACCCCATTTTTGCAGAAGTTTGGGAAGATCTGGGGCTACCAAGAGGGGATGCACAATGTGCTGGTCGTTGCCGACCTCCAGCTCAGCAATGAGATTCTGCATCGACGCTTTGAGGAATTCCCAGAGCGAAAAGTAAGGCGAGATTGCAGCTAGGTTTGGGCTTCGGCTTAAGCTTTGGCTTAGGCTTAGGCTTGGGCTTTGGCTTGGGTTTACGTCTCTAACGTTCGGCTTTAGGTGAACCACTTGATCAAGCGCCGCCCTGCCGCTCCTCGTGTCCACCTTGCCGAAGCCTGGGGCCAAAGGTGGAAGCGGCTGCGCACGATCGTATCGCCTCAATTTTCGAATAACTCCTTGAAAAAGGTAATATTCGTTACGATAAAAAGAGAGGGAGAGAGAGAGAGAGAGAGAAAGATGAGAGAGAGAGAGAAATACCTCTCAAATCCAGGTCCTCCCAATCATCAACGACTCCTCCCGCCACCTTGCCGCCCACGTCGGCAAGCATGTCGATCAAAAATCGATCAATATTCATCGGTAATTCAAAATAGGTATACTGTAATCTGGGTGCATTTTAGTTACTACCAAGAGTACACAATGGACGTGATAGCTCGAATTGCGATGGGCGTCAAGGAGAGCCAACAATGGAACAGTCAATATCCCGATATTCTGCGAGCGGTAAGGTGCTTTCAGTGTTTTTACCTAACGCGTGTTTTCCTGAACTTTCAAAGCTCACAAAAACTATTCTCACGCCTTTCAGGACAGTTTCAGATTTTCGAGCGAGACATGCGGGATCCGATCTTCCTCCTCGCCACCATAGCACCATTGATGAAATCGGTCGGGTGGTATCTTGAGCTTTATTTATTTCAGATTCTACATCCAATCTTTATGAAGCTGTCCAAGCTGATGAAGCTTCCGGTCAGCGTCCTGTTTGAGCAGATCGAGAAGGCGGTGGCGGAGCGCAAGAAGTTGAGGGTAAGCAGGCTTCTCTTCTTAGCTTGGTCTTACAAGGAGTCGTTTTTGGGTGATAATCGAGTTTTTGAACGAGACCTAGCTAGTCCGATAGAGAAAAAAATTCTGAACAAGATGTCGGTTTCCAAATCTGCTAACCGTGTATTGTATTCAATAAAAATTAATTTTAATGAAAAACTATCTAACTAACTATCCAACTTTTGCAAGATTATGCCCAGGGTTCGGAACTTTTTGTGATCTATTGTTTTGCTTTTTGGTTTTTCATGAAACATTGAAATCAAATTTGGCATTATCGAGCAAAAAGCAAAGGAGTTTTACTAGCGAGGAGTCGAACACGCTAGCTTAGGATTAGGCTTAGACTTAGGCTTAGGTTCAGGCTTATGGATAGGCTTAGGCTTCTAACGCTTTGCTTAGAAGCATCTTTTGACTTTAAGAATCTCAAATCCAGGACTCCGGCACGTTCAGCAGCAACGACTTTATCGACCTGTTCCTCGACGCTGAGGCCAGCAGCATCGACCATTCCAAGGAGGGCGTTTATGACAGACGCGATATTCACGTAAGTTTGCTCGGTACTGTTCTACTCCGCGGGGTGGGCACTCCATAGTGCAGCCAGGCAGGTTTTTCCGCACCGTAGACCCCTCTTTGCAAACAGCGGCGTTTTTCGTCCTAAAAACACGCCAAAAACATCTTTATTCGCTAGCAAAACAACCGGAAGGCACGTTGAACACTGGGTTTTTCTTCGGAGAGTACATGGCGATTGTGATAAGGATAAAGCGAGAAAATATACGTTAAGAGGGGAGTGAGAATAAGGGGAGATTGGCTATTGCTGAGGCTGCAGCGAGGCGTAGAGGCGCTCAAGTGGGTCTTCAGATTCAGTCCTCTGGGCGGGCGGAGCCTCCTTGCGCGTGATGTGCTGACGAAGCTGGCCGAGGACTTCCTCCCTAGAAACAGTAATTTCCGGTCCTTTGGCATTATCGGGGGAGGCCTACGCTTAACCCTACGGCCCTACCTGCCCGGCTTCACGCGCTCTTTCACCGGAAACGGGGTGACGTCGAAGGGGTGGACGGAGCCTTGAGTGGACATGTCCATGCTGCCGGAAGTCCACGAGTCGGCCGACTGGCTGTTGCGTGCGTAGCGCCCGGTGTCCCTGTAATGGTGTGTATGCGTAGTCAAAGGCTAAGCCTAAGCCCAAGCCGACACCGAAGCCTGTGCTAAAGCCTAAGCCTAATCCGAAGCCTCAGCCAAGCCACCACCCCACCTAAGCTTGGCCCTTCGCAAAAAGTCCTTGGCCTGCTCGACGTCGCGCTCGAAGCTCGTCTCCCGGCTCTCGGGCAGCACACCTCGAATGGGGGTAGACGTGGCGATCGGCTCGGGGCCGCCCATGAGCATCGTCGACAGGGAGGTCGCCGCCACCTCGGGGATGTACAACCGCTGCACCTCGGGAAACGACGGGCACCCCACCGGGCCGGTGATGTCCGTCACGAGCGAGGTGCGCGCGCCGCCACGCAGCTCCTCGGAATTCCAGTTCATGTAGCGGATGCTGGAGTCGCGCGAGGATAGGCTGGAATTTCGAAGTACTGTACGGTAAGTGGGAACTTAAGCAAGGCCAAGCCTAAGCCGAAGCCTAAGCCTAAGCCTAAGCATAGCCCTAGCCCTAGCCCTACTCGGAAAGGAGGCCAGCAGCGCTTTGCGACATCCGCTGGCTCGGCTTCCTCCGGAATTCCAACTGCAGGCTGAACGTGTCCCCGTCGCCGGGGCACAGCTCGCTCCGGGCTAGCTCGAACTAAAATTACGGCTTAAGCGCAGTTTATCCCCCCCCCCCCAGCCCAGCTCCTCAGCCATACATCCTATTAATGCGCCGAGTATCTCAAAATGTTCGCCGTGGTCGAAAACCCCCTGGAAAACTTGTTTACTTGTGCCAAAAATTGTTGGAAAATTTTTTACAAAATTTTGAAAGTTGAAAAGATTAAGCCGCCATGCTTCGATGTACCAGAAGTCAAAAATTCAAATATTTTTATTTTCCGCTATTTTTTTCGACTTAAACGTACCGTAGGCTTATTCTCCAGAGCAAGAGCTACATTTTGGTATCATTGACAGCTTTGTACGTCAAAAGATAGCCGAGATACGAAAACTCACTTTGGAACAGCAAAATTAACTAAAGAAAATCCAGACTTATAATTGTTATAAAAAATTTTTTAACAATTTTTGGCGCAAGTAAACAACTTTTTCTGAGGTTTTCGACCACGGCGAACATTTTGAGATACTCGGCGCATTAATAGGACGTATGGCTGAGGAGCTGGGCTGGGGGGGTAAACTGCACTCTTACCAAAATTACATAAGTGGAAAAAACGATAGCGAGCGTGAGAGAGAGAAAGCGAGCGAGAAAGCGAGAGAGATCCGAATCGATGCCCGAAAAGCGGAAAACCCACCTCGTCGAGGTTCATTGGCCAGGCGTTCTGGCAAGTTTCTCAGGTCTTTTTGGCGCTTTAACCGAATATGCAAATTTTTATTGGAAGTGCCTTCAAGCTCAAAATTAGGCTGAGGTTTGGGTTTAGTATCTGTATTTCAGGTCACCCGAAAACTCACCGAAGATGAAGTAATTGCGCAGTGCTTCGTATTCCTCGTCGCCGGCTTCGACACGACAGCAAATACCCTCGCTTACGTCTCGCACTTCTTGGCTCAAAATAGGGATGTTCAAGATCGTGTGCGCGAGGAGATTGACAGCGTCTGCACCACGGAGGTACGTGAGAGAGAAAGGAGGGCGAGAGAGAGAGAGAGAGAGGAAGGTTTTTTTTCAGGAAGTCACCCACGAACAACTCTCCGAGCTGAAGTTTATGGATTGCGTGACGAAAGAGGGACTCCGCCTCCATCCTCTGGCCACTGTGTAAGGCTTAAGCCGCCGTATAGGCTTGGGCATAAGCTTAGGATTGGGCTTATGCTCCGGCTTCAGCCTAGACGTCGGCCCAGAAGAATCCTACGACATGCTCCATTTTTTCAGTGCTCTCACGCGACTTGCCGAGAGCGACTGCGAGCTGGCCGGCATCAAGATCGACAAGGGGACGATAATTCAGGCATTTGATTTATAAATGTTCATAAAACATGCCTTAAAAATATTTTCTTCGTGCTCACCACCAACATTTAAGATTGACGCTTACACCCTTGGGCGCAGCAAGGAAATCTGGGGTGACGACGCCGAGGAGTTTGTGCCGGAGAGGTGGGCAAGCTAGCGGGGATTTTGGGGAAATTTGGCAATGATCCCTTAGGAAAAACGAAAAGTTAGTTATCCCTTTAAGGTGGATGAACGCGACATCCGAACAGAAAATGGCTTATCTGCCGTTTGGATCGGGGCCTCGGATGTGTATAGGTGTGTAAATTTTTTCTCTCTCGCTTTCTCTCGCTCTGTCTCTCTCACGCTCTCTCTCTCTCGTTCTCTCTCTCTTTCTCTCTCTCGCCCTCCATCTATTCTCTCATATTTTTAGGAAATCGGTTGGCCTACAACGAAGAAAAAATGGCGCTCGTCCAGCTTCTCCGCAAATATGAGCTCTGCCCCTGCCGCGGAGCTACGGTAGTTTTTCTTAAAAGTCACCCCCGGGCCGTATCTCAACCTCCAAACATCTCCCTTATCTTCCAGAACATCGAACTCCGAGGCGCAATCACGGTCACCCCCCTCTCCGTCGATCTGCTCATCAAAAATCGAGCATAATTTGAGAAAAACCATAATAATATTGTCAATTTTTATACACGTTTTGATTAGACACACAAAATAAAAGAAGTGAAAAAGGTCAACACACTAATGGGAGGGCTTTACAGGGGGCATTCGCTGATGTTGATTGCTGTCGAGGCATCGGACGGCTGACGGATGAGCCGGGGACCCAGCTAAAAAGGCTGATTAATGGGCTTATGCATATCCTAAGCCAGACCTCGGCCTAAGCTTAAGCCTAAGCTTAGCCCTAAGCCTCAGCTTGCCGAGTCGCTTATATCATCCTTTCCCGTCCCTTTAAGCCCCCATAATGACAATGCTATTACCTCAACCATTCTCACGCAGCCGTGAAGACCCTCAGAATGGATGGAGTCCGACTCATAGCCGCCTGGAAATTTTGTTATAGAGAGCAGAGTTATAAAAGATAATGTTTCTCCTATGCCATTGTAATTCATAGCAAGTTGATGCAATTTAAAGGGGTCTGGAACCAAAAACTGACCAATGAACAGCGTCCTGTAGACGTTCAACTGTTCGGAGGTGCCGGGTGTAACCGTGGATACAGTAGTGTCACCATTGATTGCCATTCGGATCTTTCTCTTTTCCCTGAAAATTTTGGGGATAAGAGAGCGAAGGAGAGAGAGAGAGCGAAGGAGAGAGAGAGAGAGGGAGAGGGAGAAAACGAATTTCTACCTGAAGACCTGGACAGTAGTCCAGCGATGCGCCGGGATTACGGTAGGATGGGTGAGCTCGGAGATTCCGGATCCGAGGTTTGTTTCGAATCGAATTTTTCGTTCGCGCGTGACCGTCAACTTCAAAAAGTCTCCCGAATCTTCCTCAGAACCAGCAAAAACCAGGATCTGAAAGAATCTGATGTTTTTACCGGTTTTATAGGATTTTTAATTGACGAATGTAAGCCTAAATCTAAGCCTAAGCCTCACCCAAGCCCAAGGCCACTTTTAAACTCTGCCAAGCCCAAGCTCACCTGACTCTCCGTGAACTCGTTCGTCTCGTTGGCCAGCTTAAACTCGACGACCAACCGCAAAGCATCCCCCGTGATGCTAAAAGGTGGTCTTTTTACAGTAAGCAAAATCCACTCACTGTTGCATGTAATCGTCGCTGCTCAACTCCAGATATGATTGACCCCCGAAATGCATCGCCTCCAGGGAGTTGGTGGTGTCTGGAAGGGGAACTAGAGAGTCGGAACGCGGAGTCACAGAGCTTTTAAGTCACCGTTAATTATAAACTTACTTTGTGCACATTTCTTGCCAAATGTCGGCCATTGGCAGAGACAGACGAAACGGTCGTGTCGGGCTGCACAGCCTCCGGGGCAGCCGCTTCCGGCACAAGGGTCTGAGCCGCATTCACTAAAGGAAGAGGTTCTTTAGCGGTCTCTGTTTCTCTCTTGCACTTTCGCGCGCTCTTTCTCTCTCTCTCTTTCTTTCTCCTCTCTCTCTCTCTCGCTCACTCGCACTCTGTTTCTCTCTGTCCAGCTCTCTCTCGCTCTCGCCCTTTTTCTCCATCACTCTGTCTCTCTCACCCGCTCTATCTCTCACTATCCAGCTCTCTCAAACTCCCACTCGCTCTCGCTCTCTCTCTATCTCTCTCTCTCTATCTCTCTCTCTATCTCTCTCTCTCTCTCTCTCTCTCTCCCTCTCAATTGCCTACCGTGTCTCCACAGCCGGCAGCTCCCCTAGATGCTGATGATGCCCATTTACAACCACCTGAAATTCAACGAATTTTTGGCTCAAACCCCAAGTTAAGGATCAAGCTCAAAGCTTACCCTCTTAATACACCCATGGAACCCATGAAGAGCCAGCAAATGAGTCGGTGTGGCCTCATTTGGATGCCCAAGCGTTGCCAGTCCCTTTAAAATGGCCATCCTTCGCGGCGGGCCCCTGGCAGAGTGGACTTCCGCTTCGACCCACGATTGGCGATCAACCTGAAATTTTAGCTGTCTTTTTCAAGCTATCCAGCGCTCATCGTTGCAAGTACTGCCCCGGAATTGGCCTCGTTTGCTAAAAAGTGCCCCTGTCCCTCCAAATCTTACCTTGAGGAGGATGCCTTTCCCGGATCGCCACACCTCCGCCTTGTGCCAATTATGGAGTGAGACAACGCTCTCGGATCTGGAAAGAGGGCGGTTGGAGAGAGACAGAGAGAGAGAGAGAGAGAGAGAGAGAGAGAGAGAGAGAGGGCGAGAGAGAGAGAAGATATAAAGAGCGGTAAATCCAACCTCAACGCCACCGCGTCCACCCCCATCGACGCGTGCACGTTCACGAAGCCCTCGTCGAGCGCGATCACCACGTACCGCTCCGCGTCCGACCATGTAAAAATGACTCCCTGAAAAGCGTATTAAATGACGTCTTCCTATTCCTTTTTCCTGACCTCCCAACCCCTTTAAAAGTCTAGCAACCCGCTGCTTACCTGATTTTTCGACGGCTTAAAGTAGAGCACGAGCTCCAGATAGTCTTCGATGTCTTCGGGGAGGTTTAGGGTGACCCTTGAGTTGCCGGAGAATTCGACAATTCGGAGGGGGGATGGTGAGGAGGCTGAAAATGACCCAAGTTAGGCAAAATTTGAAAACTAAAGCCTAAGCCTAGCCTAAGCCTAGGCCTAAGCCACCCTAGCCTAATTTGCATATTTTCACGGACCCTTTTTCTCAACTGACCCCCTAGCCGCCGTCCCGCATTCCGATCAAATTTGCCGCGCAGGTTGAAAAATTGGATTGCGCCCCATCTCCCGAGCTTTTTCTTCCCTTACCCACCTACTCCCGCGCAACATTCAGAAGAACTAGGCTTTTAGAAGAAAAGGATTACTGTTGAAAAATATCTGCTCTTGCTCTGTCTCTCTCGCTCTCTCGCTCTCACTCTCTCTCGCTCTCACTTTCTCTCTCTCTCTCACACTCGCTCTCTCCTCAGCTCTTGACATGTCAGAGGCCCTCCAAACTCAAAATACTAGTGTTTTCGCCGGGCAGAAGCAACCACGCTGAATGGAATAGAATATTCTGGTTTGATGGGCCCCGCGGGTGGAAGGGCCCGCAAAAACAAATCGGGAAGTCGACTGGCTGAAAGACTAAAACAAGCCTAAATCAAACCCAAGCCTAAGCTTAAGCCTGAGCCTAAGCCAGGCCCAAGCCAGGACTGAGCCTAAGGATTTATTAACGAGACTACGAGACTCAAGCTTGCTAAAACCAACCATTTCTGTCCAATGACGTTTGCTTGTGATCATTGCCCATAAGGAGCACGTGCTCGGCTGAGATCTGCTTCTCCACCGGCTTCTTCGGCTTGGCGGGCAGCTGAAATATTTTTATGCAAAAATGATATTTAGGCTTCACCTGGGCGAGGAATCGAGGCTTCGGCCGAGTGGGTTTGTAGAGGAAGTCATCTAAAAATTGATAATTATATTAGGATTAAGGTTTTAACCAGACTAATTTATCAGCAAGAGAGAGGGAGAGAGAGAGAGAGAGAGAGAGAGAGAGAGAGAGGAGAGGAGTGATGTGGAGAGCGAGCAAGGAAGAGAGAGAGGGGAGAGCGAGAGAGAAAGAGAGAGAGAGGGAGAGAAAGTGATCGAAAGAATTACTTTTAACCCCCATCAAAACTTATTAAACCCCCTAAACCTACGCACCCAAATCCCCGCTCAAATTCAAACTCCGAAAACTGTTCTCCAGCAACAGTCCATAGTAGTCAAACGGAATCGTCGAGGCCAAAGGGCACAATATAGACAATAACGACACTGCCCAGGCTACCGTATGCATCGCAGTCAAGAGTAGCGCCCCGGAAAATCTGGCCCTGGACCCGGGGCCTAGGGGCGGGCCCACGCTGGGTCTCCCCAAAGGGGCACCGAAAAAATGGACGTGACCAGGGTATTCTCGCGGAAAAAGAGCTGTGAAATGGGCCCTCCAGCAGCACATTTGGCCACATCAACCCCCCACTAGGGCCTAGGAGGGGAGCCCAGAAAAAAACAATTCTAATTTAACGGACACCCGGGAGGGAGGGAGGCCTCAAAAAGTGGCACCGGAAATGGGGGAGAGTAAAGCGGAAATTGTATCAGGGGATTAAAGGGAACGGGAAGGGGCAGGGGGTTAAAATCGCTATATCTCCCGTTCTCTCGCTCTCTACTTTATCTCGCTCATGTTCACTCTCTCACTCTCTCACTCTCTCTCTCTCCATCACTTTCTTCATCGATCTCTCTCGCGCTCGCTCTCTCTCCCTCTCTCGCTCTCTCCTCTCTCCTCTCTGGCTTCTTTCTCTCTCACCTGAAGCTCCAGTCTTCAATACAATCTCCTTTATCGTCAACGTCGGGGCGGGTGGGGCCTCTTCTGAATCTGCTGCCTTCTCCGTCACCTTTTCTGTTGTTAATTCCGCCGGAATACTCCGTACGGTAGTGGGCGGGACTTCAGTACAGTATCCTAAATCAATTAGTCTAATAATCAATTAATCTAGTTTGCGTTTTTCCTCAAAGAATCTCTGCTAGCCCACCCACCCAATTGCTCCCTGTTGGCGGCCAAATTGACGCCGGTTCGGGTGTCCAGGTGAACGCGGCCGTTGATTTCCACCTGGAATTTTTTGGGTGGCTCTCTCTCTCTCTCGCTCTCTTCCTCTTTCTCTCTCGCTCTGTCTCTCATTAGTCTAATGACAAATGCCTGTATAGAAAAATAGAGCCTAATTAGGACCCACCCTCCGGATGCAGCCCTCGATGCCGTTCGACGCACCAGAACGACCTGAAATTTGGGAATTCGCAAAAATTTCAATAAAAATGGAAAGAATTATTACAGGAATACTAAAAAAACTATTAAATGTCGAAAAAAATCGAAAAAATCTCTAAAAAACCGTTTTTACCTTCCAAAAAGTCAATCTCCACGGGGACTCCTCCCAAAAAGACGGCCTTGTCGACGCTGATCCCTTTGTAGTGCTGGAAAAAAGTTAGGTAGTTTTCTGAGCCAAGCCCAAGCCTAACCTACCTTGAACTGCTCGGTCCTGTCGACCATCTTCTGCCCCCTATCC